ATCCTCTCCAAGCTCGATTTTCGGGTAAACGCGCATGTCTCCTGCCCAAAGACTAGAACCCCGACTTGGATCAAACCCAAGTTTTAGGATAGTTCCATACCTCTATATGGCATACCGCTGAGAGCAATCATCTCTATCGCCTAATTACTCGCGTGTCACGTCATTAAAGAGGAGCCAAATGGTTAAAATAGCGAAATTATCCTCTCCAAGTTCCATTTTCGGGTAAACGCGCATGTCTCCTGCCCAAAGACTAGAACACGGACTTGGATCAAACCCAAGTTTTAGGATAGTTCCATACCTCTATATTGGCATACCGCTGAGAGCAATCATCTCTATCGCCTAATTACTCACGTGTCACGTCATTAAAGAGGAGCCAAATGGTTAAAATAGCGAAATTATCCTTTCCAAGCTCGATTTTCGGGTAAACGCGCATGTCTCCTGCCCAAAGACTAGAACCCCGACTTGGATCAAACCCAAGTTTTAGGATAGTTCCATACCTCTATATGGCATACCGCTGAGAGCAATCATCTCTATCGCCTAATTACTCGCGTGTCACGTCATTAAAGAGGAGCCAAATGGTTAAAATAGCGAAATTATCCTCTCCAAGCTCGATTTTCCGGTAAACGCGCATGTCTCCTGCCCAAAGACTAGAACCCCGACTTGGATCAAACCCAAGTTTTAGTATAGTTCCATACCTCTATATTGGCATACCGCTGAGAGCAATCATCTCTATCGCCTAATCACTTGCGTGCCACGTCATTAAAGAGGAGACAAATGGTTAAAATAGCGAAATTATCCTCTCCAAGTTCCATTTTTGGGTAAACGCGCACGTCTCCTTTACAAAGACTAGAACCCCGACTTGGATCAAACCCAAGTTTTAGGATAGTTCCATACCTCTATATGGCATACCGCTGAGAGCAATCATCTCTATCGCCTAATTACTCGCGTGTCACGTCATTAAAGAGGAGCCAAATGGTTAAAATAGCGAAATTATCCTCTCCAAGCTCGATTTTCGGGTAAACGCGCACGTCTCCTTTACAAAGACTAGAACCCCGACTTGGATCAAACCCAAGTTTTAGGATAGTTCCATACCTCTATATTGGCATACCGCTGAGAGCAATCATCTCTATCGCCTAATCACTTGCGTGCCACGTCATTAAAGGAGACAAATGGTTAAAATAGCGAAATTATCCTCTCCAAGTTCCATTTTTGGGTAAACGCGCACGTCTCCTTTACAAAGACTAGAACTCCGACTTGGATCAAACCCAAGTTTTAGGATAGTTCCATACCTCTATATGGCATACCGCTGAGAGCAATCATCTCTATCGCCTAATTACTCGCGTGTCACGTCATTAAAGAGGAGCCAAATGGTTAAAATAGCGAAATTATCCTCTCCAAGCTCGATTTTCCGGTAAACGCGCATGTCTCCTGCCCAAAGACTAGAACCCCGACTTGGATCAAACCCAAGTTTTAGGATAGTTCCATACCTCTATATTGGCATACCGCTGAGAGCAATCATCTCTATCGCCTAATCACTTGCGTGCCACGTCATTAAAGGAGACAAATGGTTAAAATAGCGAAATTATCCTCTCCAAGTTCCATTTTTGGGTAAACGCGCACGTCTCCTTTACAAAGACTAGAACTCCGACTTGGATCAAACCCAAGTTTTAGGATAGTTCCATACCTCTATATGGCATACCGCTGAGAGCAATCATCTCTATCGCCTAATTACTCGCGTGTCACGTCATTAAAGAGGAGCCAAATGGTTAAAATAGCGAAATTATCCTCTCCAAGCTCGATTTTCCGGTAAACGCGCATGTCTCCTGCCCAAAGACTAGAACCCCGACTTGGATCAAACCCAAGTTTTAGGATAGTTCCATACCTCTATATTGGCATTCCGCTGAGAGCAATCATCTCTATCGCCTAATCACTTGCGTGCCACGTCATTAAAGAGGAGCCAAATGGTTAAAATAGCGAAATTATCCTTTCCAAGCTCGATTTTCGGGTAAACGCGCATGTCTCCTGCCCAAAGACTAGAACCCCGACTTGGATCAAACCCAAGTTTTAGGATAGTTCCATACCTCTATATGGCATACCGCTGAGAGCAATCATCTCTATCGCCTAATTACTCGCGTGTCACGTCATTAAAGAGGAGCCAAATGGTTAAAATAGCGAAATTATCCTCTCCAAGCTCGATTTTCGGGTAAACGCGCACGTCTCCTTTACAAAGACTAGAACCCCGACTTGGATCAAACCCAAGTTTTAGGATAGTTCCATACCTCTATATTGGCATACCGCTGAGAGCAATCATCTCTATCGCCTAATTACTCGCGTGTCACGTCATTAAAGAGGAGCCAAATGGTTAAAATAGCGAAATTATCCTTTCCAAGCTCGATTTTCGGGTAAACGCGCATGTCTCCTGCCCAAAGACTAGAACCCCGACTTGGATCAAACCCAAGTTTTAGGATAGTTCCATACCTCTATATGGCATACCGCTGAGAGCAATCATCTCTATCGCCTAATTACTCGCGTGTCACGTCATTAAAGAGGAGCCAAATGGTTAAAATAGCGAAATTATCCTCTCCAAGCTCGATTTTCGGGTAAACGCGCATGTCTCCTGCCCAAAGACTAGAACCCCGACTTGGATCAAACCCAAGTTTTAGGATAGTTCCATACCTCTATATGGCATACCGCTGAGAGCAATCATCTCTATCGCCTAATTACTCGCGTGTCACGTCATTAAAGAGGAGCCAAATGGTTAAAATAGCGAAATTATCCTCTCCAAGCTCGATTTTCGGGTAAACGCGCATGTCTCGTGCCCAAAGACTAGAACCCCGACTTGGATCAAACCCAAGTTTTAGGATAGTTCCATACCTCTATATGGCATACCACTGAGAGCAATCATCTCTATCGCCTAATTACTCGCGTGTCACGTCATTAAAGAGGAGCCAAATGGTTACAATATCGAAATTATCCTCTCCAAGCTCGATTTTCGGGTAAACGTGCATGTCTCCTGCCCAAAGACTAGAACCCCGACTCGGATCAAACCCAAGTTTTAGGATATTTCCATACCTCTGTATTGGCATACCGCTGAGAGGAATCATGTCTATCGCCTAATTACTCGCGTGTCACGTCATTAAAGAGGAGCCAATTGGTTAGCAGCAGAACATTCCCACATCTGTAACACGTACGTGTTACAGATGTTTACAGATGTTTACAGTTTTGTTCACAGAAAGTTTACAGATAAGGCAACCAATTATCGGTTTCATTGTTACGTTTACGACACGAATGAGGAGCGCGGAAGCGGTTTCAGCAAAGACAAACACCCTAAGCACGCCAAAATAAAAAAAAAGTCAAATGGATGTTTCATTTCGTGAAGTAGTTATCGCTTTCCACAGAGATTAGATGATAGGGGAACAAAGTCCAGCAGGCTCCAAGGTATGTTTTTATACCGTAAAGTATCAAGAAATAGCGCGATTGAATACGTGCGATATTTCGAATTCACGCGGCCATGCTCAGTGCCACTGTGGGGGGAGAGTAAGATTAATTGATGTTTTATACTCCGCGACAACTTTTCTTGGCAATGCAGTGGAAGGTACAGGCTCGCGTCCCCTCTCCCATTTTGAGTGTGCGCGGGCTCTCCTCCTCTCCCCGGAAATGGGGAGGAGTAGAGCCTGCGTACACTCAAGATGGGAGAGGGGACGCGGGCCTGTACCCTCCACTGCATTGCCAAGAAAAGTTGTCGCGGAGTATAGTACTGACAAAGCCACCCGTGCATGTCCTGTTTTCGTAGATCAGACACCCACACGCCGTTCTTGGCTGAGTTGTGGCACTGGCGGCACAAACAAGTGCCTCCAAGGCATTGGTACGGGAAAGGGAACAAACCCACTTTTATTTTGTGTTTTGTATTCGTCCAGATACGCTATATTCCTGAACAACAGTAAAAGCCCTTACTTTTCCTCGTGTTCGAAAGGGACGACCAATTCGCGCGGTTCTCCCTCGTGCTGCTGGCGCTTGACTAGAGCTTGACGGCTCATCAACATGAGATCACGAAACGAAACGGAACACTGTATATTTACCTGGTCCGGAATAAATCATGACCATTCCCGTTAGGTGAAAATAGGCACTTGGCGCCTGGTTTCATCGAACGAAAGCCAACTGCCTTAATAACCTAAAAAAAAAAAAAATGCTCGAGGTACACATGAGTTGTGAATGCGAAAGCATCGAAGCCGCTTGTCCGCTCCCTTTTTCGTCTGCTGCGTACTTTTCGGAACTGGTCAGCGCGCGCGCTGTCCTGGGGACGGTGACCTTGGCCGCTCCGTGTTAACGGCGTGCTGATGGACACGCAGCGCCATGGGGTGAGCGGTCGTAAAAACTGACGAGCGCAGTGGCCAATGGGAGCCCCGTCGACGCGCGCCAGCCAATGGAACCAAAGGCGAAATCCATCAGCTTTACTTCGCTCTTTTGGGATCGGGGAAACTAGGTGCCGTTTTCGCGCTTCAAACCGATGACGTAAGCTCGCTCCATGGGACAATATTAAAAAAAAAATTGGTTAGTTTTGGCGCCACATTTACGCTTGGGAGCAGGATGGCGAAGCGAAAGTGGATTGGCGCACAAAGCTTCCACCCCTGCGAGACACCAGGTGGAACGTGAAGAACAGCGGATATGCCAAAGCAGGTGTGCACGCCAACTGGCTCTCGATAACCTTACCTTTGGGTTCCCGGCCGCACTGTAACACGGGGCTCATAGCCCACGCCGCGAGGACGCTTGTACGCGCGACCTCAGCGAGGAGGAGGGGCCGCCGAGCATTTCCGTTCAGCCCCAGTTCGGTCCAGGATCTCCGAAGAACGCACTTTCGGCCTCCGGCGCGTGGGCTGCCTCTCTTGTTCGCCCCGTAACGGCGAGCAGGTGAAGAGACGAGAAGCCGGCTCCGGAAAGCAACAATGCTCGTCGGGACCGAAGCAGCACGCTCCGTCGAGCAGAACGACAGGAGCCGGGAGGACTAGACAACACGTATATTTCAGGTTTATACACACGCAGAAAGAGTAAGAGACACATCAACGTGTAAACTGGCCAACATAAAACAAATCAAGAACCAATAAACAATCACCTCGTAAAGAGATTCTTTTAAAGTAACAGCTGCGTGTGACACGTTAAAAACGCCGCTAAAACATATTATGCGGGGGATGGAGGCGTACCTCGCGACAAAAAGAGGCTCCGCTTCAAATATATAAAACGCACCAATACGGGAGCAACTTTCATAATGGGATTTCAACGAAAATTCGTAAAAACCGCGACAAAACAAAAGAGCGAAAACAGGCTCGACCTTTGGCAACGACCGGATCTCTGTGGCAAATGGCAATGCCAACAAACGGTTTCATACGAGAGGCATAGGCGCCAAGAGGGCATCGAACACGCAAGCTATCGAATATGCCTCGTTGTGTCAAAGTGACGCTGCGAGACAAACTGTAAATGGGCTAATACTTCAGACGTAGCTCAGTCCGAGTTTGCGTCCTCGGACTGCGGCACAATTAAAAAAAAAAAAGTGTAAATGGCTCAAAATTAAGCTGCTTGGAGCAACGGAGCTCCAGATTGCTTAGGACTGGATATCGCAAAGCCGGTTTGGGGGCTTTAAACATGACCTCGCCGATAAGTAGATGAGCGCTGTGACATCTGGACAGCTCATTTTCATCGGCAACACCGAGAATCACCCAGAAGTTTGGAAGTTGTCCGAAAGAAAAAGACGTTAAAGTAGATCTAGCATCCGTCTTTTCTTCACCTCGCAGGGACATCCATAACATTTGCGAATCGAAGACCACGTAATCTTCTTTGGACCCCAACGAGTGTACGAGCACATTTGCAATGTTTCGCAAAACAGGCACGACCGTCGGTGCTTCCAGGGACACGTCCTCGAGTGGGCCACAGCCTGGCTTTCCAGTCCCCGGGGCATAGCATCGCCTCCGGCCCCCGCGTGGCTCAGAAGCGGTCCTTGTCAGCCGCGGAGAGCCTGGCCAGTTCCCTGGGGTCCTGGGCGTCTTTCTTCACGTACATGGGGTTCTCGAAGGTGGAGAACTTGCGGCCGAAGCCCATACGGACCGGGTACTTCCTCCTGTAGATGACCAGGACGATGAGGAGCAGGAAGGCGATGGCCAGCGGCGCCGTGACGGCCACGATCACGGCTACCATGGTGACCGTGAGGCCGTCCGTGAAGTCGCCCTCGTCGCGGTGCACGCCGTCCCGGCCCTGGTGGTCACGCGACGTGGATGGCTGGGAAGGCTCGCCACGCGACTCCTCGTCGTCGCCGTCGTCGTCCACCGGCCTCGGGTCCAGGTGGGCCGAGGGCTTCCGGGGTGCCGCGCCGGGCTCCTTCCTGTGGCCGCCGTGCGAGTGGACGTCCTGCTGCTGGGTCCTCCAGCGCCCCTGCAACACAACAAAAACATGTCTTCAGCAAAAAAAAAAAAAAAAAAAAAAAAAAAGAACGCTTGGAAAGAATTTTGAAGTAAGGATGGTGCGATTCCGGTGCGATCATAGCTATTTTGAGCATATCGAGGAACATTGACAGGCAGCATTTTTAGCAGACGAGGCCGGGCGAGCCGGCTTTATTTCTGATTCCATTTCTGGTGATTTTTTTTTCTGTGCGAGAAACAAATTGGTTTAGCGACTAGCGGAGTTTCTATCGGGCGGTTTTGATATACTTGGCATGTTTATGGAGGATGCCTTAAACTGCAAACCAACTAATTTTTTTTTTTTTTTGTATCATAAGCACACGCCCGCGTTATGGCAGGCTAAACAGACTTGTTCAGCCTGCCATAACGTTCTCAAACATTGCTTTTTTTTTTCTTGTGATCTCATGGCTTAGCTTACCATTTCTAAATGTTTTTCGTTAAGGAATTTTAGATTAGTAAAGCGTATAGTGTTTGACACTGCAAAACTTAGGCAAGAGCGCACCACCCACTATGGTAAACAATACTAATAAATGCTTCGATGCGGACATAGCCGCTCTTCTACCCCACAGCGTGTGAGACTCTCGCGTTGGAGCTCATGCTAGTACAATGTGTCGCGTTGTGGAAGCGCCAGACAAATCTACACAGCGATTCACAATAACCACGTGTGTGTTCTTGCACTGCCACAAATGTGCACACCAATAAACTTTTCCTGGACGGCTTAGATAGAGTAAGATAATAATAAAAATAACAATAATGTTGATTTTATTCGAGAAAATTATACAAAAAGAGTTCTAGCTCACAAAAACGAAGACTGTTTTGGGGCCGGGCAAACCTACGAAACGTAATAACACATATTCATCTTACTTTGCCACAAAGCGCTCGTGTATTCTACCCTTTAATTTTTATGTTCACGTTACACGTATGTGATCTGATGCTATTGATGACTTACACGCTGTTCAATCCACAATGTTTTGTTCATTTGGATGTACTACATTACGTTACTGCGTACTTGCGAACCTGTTTAACTCACGATGTTTCGTTTTTGTTGTACTACCGGTACTCGAATGTTGCCTCGGCCCCGGTGCAGGCGGCCGGCGAGTCGTGAAATCAATAAATAGGTAAAACGTGCAATAATTACTCTTCTAACATCAACGCCATAGCGCATAAAAGAAAACACATTCACCAAAATAACTTGATTGTTCGTACAGAGTGAATAACGATAAGTAATTCGACGCGAAGCAAACAATTTGATAAAAAAGTAATTCCGCTCTTTTTGCGAATTCTGCCCTCACATGGTGCCGTTTCTCGAGGTTGTGTATAAAGACAGCATTCACAGACTCCTTAGGACGAGAGAAGCGTGTTAAAAAAAAAGGCCCCTGGCGAACGGTTTCGAGTGCGGGTACAGACACGACAAAAAGCGACCTATCGACAGGGCTACGCATGTACAGTGCCGCGAAAACATTGTATTAATGGCGGTCGTATCCATAATGTGTAAGTCACTATTGGGAAGGAGATCCAATTGTAACGCCCTTACTGTCTAAATCGAGAACTACGCCGATGGGGACAACAACAACATCGGTCGCTTCTTCGTGTTTTGACTCTGACCCGCGTATAGTCGAACGCTGCGTTATCGTTCGTCTGGGGTTCAATCAGTGAAGCCGAACGCGGACGCAACAAGAGTCTTTGCCCCGCACTCAATCGAGAAAGATGAAGTAAAGACTCAATGGAGCGGTGCAGGCGAGTTGCTTCAACACTACAAACTGGTAGCAGCGCGCAAAAGATACAAAGGGAAGAATGGACAGGACGAGCGCCGTTTCATCGGCGATGGTCGGTCCATTCGTCCCTTTTTCTGCGTATTTTTTGAGCGCTGCTACCCGTTCGTAATGATGAAGTAAAGAACCGAGCGCACATTCCTCGTGTTGGTAAACGCGGAACTCTGAAAACAACAACAACAACAACAACAACAAGCTAGACGTAGCGCTTCTATAGTTGAATCTTCTTATCTAGCTACTCGTGTGCCGTCTGAAATAGTTCTTACTTAAGACTACGGCCCTAAACTTCGGCGACCGATGACACGAGGTTCGACGGAGCGCTAAAGACAACCTCATTAGGCGTTGATGCGTGAATACGAGCCAACAGTCCGCTTCACCGAGAACATGTCGGTCAGCAGTGCGAGTCGAAGGAGCTTATTGTTGACACCGCAATAGCAAATAACTAATATAAATATTTAAAAAAAAACGAAATTTTGGCGGATATAGCGAGGCATCTGTCACCGTTAACCAACTTCAAACGTGGCGGCTTCTAGTCCTTTTCACTGCATCAGGGAAAGTCTGGCCGTCTCAGAATCAACTAATCGGAGAGCACCAGCTGCGATGGCGGGCTAGACTGCGATGAACAACGGCTCACGCGGGTTGCATGCTTTCATTCATTCAGTACGAAGTTCACACCAATGTTGGTCCTCAAGAACAGTTATCGACGACTGTGACTCGGGAGGATCGGTGGCCGAGTGTGCCAGAGTACACCAGCTCTCAGCACGTGGAGTGAAAGTTGCGCTGCAGAACCCAGGGATCCTGATCTGGACGAGCATCGTACCGACGTGCGATTAATTTTTCATCTACAACTGAGACACCAGAATGACCATTGGGGCTGACTTCCGGCTATAGAAACATACACACAACATTACTATTGAATGTTACTTCTCACCAAATCTAACTCGCTAATACTGTAGAATTTCTTGAAAACCGATCTGCCTGATTCATCTCATCTAAGTATGAATGCACTGCCAATGCCTCCACGCTAAGCTCTCGCAAGAGTAAGGCGTGTCTTTGTCTCCTCAATGAGATCTTTCTTCTGAGACGAAAGAATTGTCTCTGCGTTTACATTAACATCTTTCTAAACATTTAACGTGCACTACATACACACTCCTTACACCTTTGGCCTTGTCGAACAGTTTTCGTGACGCATTCGTGAGGCAGTTAACACCCAAAACATGCAGCAAAGCTCCAACCACGCTGCACATTCTTCATCCCTAGGATTAAAATACTCACGTTTTCATAACGACACTCTACAAAATTAAATATCAAGAATATTAATGCAAAGTTGTAACTACATGGCGTTCTGGCAGGCCATTTTCTCCGGCAAAGTCACTGGCATACATCGCGTATATCTTATTTGCATATACCCGTTTGTCGTGCGCAAATATCAGTACCACAGCGACCCGTCTGAAGGATAGGAGTCTGCGCGTTCACTTTGCTGACTTCGCTCTGTTGACACGAAACCTGTCTAGCTCGCAGTTGTAAGTTTAAAGATTGAACGAGAAATACAATTCGAGTGCGATGAACGTTTCATCCAAGGACACCTTCGAGTCGAGTGACATATGGCTCATGACCCGCTCGCCTTACGATGTCCGAGATCTTTTATATGAGCAGAAAATGTTCCCTAGGAGGAAAAGCGGCCTGATCTCCGGATAATGAGTCAGGCAACGGATAATGTGAACAGCGCGACCGTCTGTTGGGACACGTTGGGTGCGAGCGCCGCTCCCCAGAACACTGGCCGGACTCATTTCTGATCCCGCTGAGATTTTGAGATTCTTCGGGCCAAAGTTCTCGGCGGTCGGCTCCAGGGGAGAGTGACCTTCCTCGGAACGTGGGAAGCCTCAACGCGTGCCGATCACGCACACGTCCAGACATGATCTTGGGGTGAGAGCAACAACCGAGTTCAAGAACAGCATTCCTTAGAGTGGGTTCGTTTACCAGCTGTTTATTTTAATAACAATCCTGGGACTAAAGTCTGTAGATAAGAGCTTCCTACAAGTGGCGACAATCTTTGAAGCGCCGACTGTGTGACGGTTTTAGGAAGCTAATGGCGCCGCACAGCGGAGGTTTGAACTGAATGCCGCCGTTTGGTTCCAGTGGTTGTCGTTACTTGTAAAGAAAAGTATACAGGGATTTTACCTGGGACAGCTCAGCGGAAAAAAAACAAACAAAAAAACTAGAGATAATTTTTTTATTATAATGCAATTAAATACAATTCTCGCGAATCGTTTCTCATCAAAGCAAGGGACGCCGATAAGTGCACCAGTGAGCTGTCCGTGGCCCTGTTTAAGTATTGAAGTCAGTGTGTTTTCTAATAAACTTTCAGTTGCAAGTGCCCTCCGTGTTGTCGCTACCTTCTTCTCTTCGTACCTGTCCTTCGGCGCTTCTATCCGGCCAATCGAAAAAAAAAGTTCAACATGTACATGAAGCTTGAGCATTTCTTTTGCAGACAAGTATTACGCAAATCAAGAATACCGGGGTAATTAAAATCGACGCCAAAATCACCAATGAACGAAGGTACTTGCGCTGTATAATTTCGAGAACATTGGTTAAGCTGTTTACAAATTCACTAGTTGAATCAAGCGCTCGATAAAAAAATATGGATTAAACTATCGCACTTTGAAAAGGTACACTCCCAATGGATAGCCAAAGGGTTTCAAGAGTTTAATCAACGGGCAGCATGTTGTAGGTTAAATTCGTCAGGGAACGATCTTGGGTTAGAATGTTGATGACTTTGAAAAGGCGTGCTGGTCTTAGTCTGACCCAAGTGTACTCGCACAGACCGCCACTGATTCAGAAGCTTCTTTGTTGCGGTGAAATTGCGAAGATAAAAGGGGACTGTTTCTTTCAGTCTTGCGTACGCAGAGCTTAATGACGTAATTGTGGAATCGAAATCACCCGTCGGACGACAGTCGAGCGCGGATCATGGATTGAACACGAGAACTGCGTGAGCACTCGACTTCGGCTCGTCACAATCAAAGCCTCGGCTGACACTTGGGTAGTGGCTCGTGTCCAACCACTGCGGTGATGAGAAGAGCCGAACTCTGACAATGCCTGGAGCTCAGCGTGCGTTTTCTACCTTGCCGACCCCAGCGCGTGAATATGATTAAAGTTGACGACATAAGATAGGCTCCAGGCCACGTGGCCGCTTGCTGGTGTT